CAGTTACTGCAGAGCACTGGTGAACAGTAAATCATTTTCCCCTTTTTACCTTGTAGAAAAGTAGGCTGTCCTTGCTTTCCAACAAAACTAAGAATTCATACACAGTATTAATGTTAACACTATATCCCTTGATGAGGACTGTGCATACCATACTGAATTGATACAAGGTAATCCAGACCATGAAATAATATAGAAAAACCTTGAACTTTGTTTCTAGATCTTAGCCTTACTGCCCAATGGAAAAGATAGGCGATATAGGTAAGTAAGGAGGCATGTGTTCGTGAATTTGTTGTTTTAGGTTGAGGGTTTGTTTGGGTTTTTATTTTTGGCAGAGATCTTTGCTTCATCTAGACAAATTCCAAGAAGCATAACAATCCCACTGGCAATTCTAAAGGTAAGAGAAAAGAATTACTTCATTACTGGTTGACACTAAGGAATATTTATCATATATAAACACTTTAAAACACTTTAGAGTGCTGACCCAGAACTATAAATAGGTTAAGCCTCTTGATGTTAAAATAATTTTGTTTTGCATTTAATAAATTTACACTTGAATAGTAGGTCTCTTCCTAAAACAGACAACTTTGCTAGAATTAATACACCTCTAATCCGTCAGGACACAATTTTGCTAAGCTAGGGAATTAATAACCAACAACTGTACATATATAAAATTTTACTATGTTATTCTATGGAAGTGCACTTTACTTACACTTTGGAAAACTACCAAGCCACCACCAATGGAATGTTCTCTCTCGAGAGAGAGAGAGAGAGAGAGAGAGAGAGAGAGAACAAGGCATTCAGGTTGCAAAGGTTCAGAATATCTCGTTAATGCAAATATGACTGATGACAGCAAAGTATAACTCAAAGCTAAGAAATGTCTGAATTGTCTGTGACCTTCTGAATTCTCATTGATTCCTTTTATTCTAGGTCTATTCTACAATTTATTCTATTACCCTGTACCAGTATTTCTAAGCAAGAAAGGGACAAGCAATATTTCCATTCTAAAAAGCCAATCTGAATCTTATCTTACTAGATACGACATTAGTTTTATCGCACTTTTAGAACTTCTTCTAAGGTGCTGAAAAACCTAACACCCTATTTAAATCACAGGTAACTGAAAAACCAGAGGACCTTATGGGCCATTTAAGTGTACAGCTTCTACAATGAAAAAGGGATATCCACTTAATGAAGCAATGCTCATTAAATACACAGAACTGTCTCTGTGAGGTGGGGAGGTGCTTTAATTAGCGCAGCTGTGCAAGCAGCTCATCCACGGGGCGCAGGGAGCTCCCGCCGCAGTGCACACCCTGGGAGGACATGGAGGGGGCATATGCCCCCAGATCTGTGGGGGGAGGGGGGTTGGGCTGCTGCTGTGAGCTGGGCTCTTCCCAGCAGGGGCTTGGCTGGGCTGCACTCAGGACAGGCAGCGGTGCTGGGAGGGGAGTTATGGGGGGGCTGCAGCCACCCCAAAATTCACCGTAGCCCCCTCAACCCCCCTCCCA